CAGTTCTCCGCCCATCGGGGGGCCCACATGGGTGTCCCTTTTTGCAGTGCTCCCCGCCCCCCCTCCCCCCCCCCCCCCGTGCCTGGAAGGGTGCCTGGTGCCTTGCGGAGCTCAGTGTATCTTGGCCGAGTAAGATGTGTTAGCAACCCTGTGCACACACGTGAGAGACCCCACACACAGTGACAGCTCTGGGTTATTCACTAACATCTCCCGAGCGAGCGCTGAGAAGGTGCCAGACCCCAAGCGAAGTGCTTTCCAAGCATGTTTTTATTTAATCTTCACATCAGTCCCCCCTCCCCCCCCTCAGAGGTTCCTATTATCATCATCCCATTTTACAGATGAGGAAACTGAGGCTCGAGGCATGATGTGACTTGTTCAAGGCCACCCGCTTGTGGGTTCTGAACCCAGCTGTGTCTGAACGTGGGGCCCCGTGCTCTGCTTCTGCCGCACACCCAAACAAAACCAAATGGCTAATAAATCAAAAAACATAACAATCGCACGGTCCCGCCCTCAACAAGCCTGTGCCTCACAGTCCTAGGAAGGTAACGCTATTGACCGAGCCCGAGGAGCCTCCTGTTATTGCCTCCAAAGCTCTGTCCAGGGGATCAGCTCCTCTGACCACCTCTACAGAAAATTATAATAACAATCCTAACAGTAAGAATAGCAAGCATTAGTGCTTTGCACCAGTTGTGTTTATAGATGTCAACTTAAGTATTCCTCACCCAAGTTGCTCTAAGACAGTTTATTCTCTCCACTCGAGGACGATAATATTGAGGCACAGAGAGGTTAAGTGACGGGGTCAGGGTCACACAGCTTCTGAGCAGCAGAGCAGATATCAGACCCAGTCAGTCTGGTGCAGGGCCGGGCTCCTAGCCGCCGTGTGATTCTCGGAACAAACCCAAAACAAAGCCCCGTGATTTGAGGCCCACTCCGCGCCAGGCTCTGCTAAATGCTCCATGTGCCTCACCTCTTCATCCTCACGGCAACCCTCGGCCGCAGCGGGACATGGTCCACCCTGCTTCGTGCTGAAAAGGCTACTCGGAGTGCGATCTCGCTGACCGGCTCCGAAGCAGCCCAGCAAGGGCGCGCCTGGGCTCGCTCACTCACTCGCGCGTTCATTCATAGTTACTCGTTCTTACATGCAAAGCACCCGCGAGGCGCCAGCGAGGAGGCGGGGAGGGAACGAGACAAGCGACTGCTCTCATGTCTGTCCATTAACAAGTCGTCAAATCAACAGCTAAAGCCATTTCAGGTGCTGACAGGTCTATGGAGGAAACGAAGGCTGCTGGCTACCTTTCTGATCTGTTCCCTGCTGCCCGGGGCCTCCGCCACCTCCAGGCTGTCTCCCCCTCCATCCTGACTCCACGGGAATTCCACATCCTCAGAGACCCCCCACCCGCTGGCCCTGAGGCCCAGTCTCTCCTCAGCTGACTGCCTTGTCTTCTGCGGCACTTGCCCCTACGTCATCATAAGCTACCCTCTGTCGTGTTTGCTTTCTGCCTCCTCCCTCCGAACGTCGGGCCATGAGGGCTGAGGGCAGGGACTTGCGTCTGACTGTGGCCGGGTCAGCGACACCGGGCACAGGACCGGGCGCACATCGGGCGCAGCCAGGTCCCGGGCGCCTGCTGGGTAGCACCTTCCTGGCGCATGGGGTGGGAGGAGCCGTGTAACTAGCTGTGGCCCCTGAGTGAGAAGCAGAAGCCAGGCCTGTGGCCGCCGGTTCAGAGCGTTTGACATCATAGCGCGTGGGAGCCCCACTGCCTCTT